CCCTTGTTGGCAATCACAGAGGTCATACATTTCCTGTAGTTGGCCACCAGGTTTGCACACATCTCAGGAGGGATTTTGGCCCACTCCTCTTGGCAGAACCTGTCCAAGTCATTAAGGTTTGGTGTCTGACGTTTGGCAAACTCAAACTTTCAGCTGCCTCCACAGATTTTCAATCGGATTAAGGTCTGGAGACTGGCTAGGCCACTCCAGGACCTTAATGTGCTTCTTCTTGAACCACTCCTTTGTTGCCTTGGCCGTGTGTTTTGGGTGATTGTCATGCGGTCATTTTCATGCTGGAACAACCATCCACGACCCATTTTCAATGCCTTGGCTGAGGGAAGAAGTTTCTCTCACCCACAATTTGATGGTACATCGTCCCTTTGATGCGGTGCAGTTGTCCTGTCCCCTTAGCAGAAAAACTCCCCCAAAGCAGAATGCTTCCACCACCATGTTTGACAGTTGGGATCGTGTTCTTGGGTCATAGGCAGCATTCCTCCTCCTCCAAACACGGCGAGTTGAGTTGATGCCAAAGAGCTTGATTTTGGTCTCATCTGACCACAACACTTTCAACCAGTCATCCTCTGCATCATTCAGATGTTCAGTGGAAAACTTCAGACGGGCCTGGACATGTGCTTTCTTGAGCAGAGGGACCTTGCAGGCACTGCAGGATTTCAATCCTTGTCGGCGTAGTGTGTTACCAATTGTTTTCTTGGTGACTGTGGTCCCAGCTGCCTGGAGATCATTGACAAGATCCTCACGTGTAGTTCTGGGATGATTCCTCACTGTTCTCATGATTATTGACACTCCACAAGGTGAGATCTTGCATGGTGCATGTGTTTCTTCCATTTGCAAATGATTGCACCAATTGTTGTCACCATCTCACCAAGCTGCTTAGCGAAAGTTTGGTAGCCCAGTCCAACTTTGTGTAGGTCTACAGCCTTGTCCCTGACATCCTTGAACAGCTCTTTGGTCTTTGCCATGGAGGAGAGTTTGGGATCTGATTGTTTGATTGCTCCTGTGGACAGGTGTCTTTTATATAGGTAACAAAATGAGATTAGCAGCACTCCCTCTAAGAGACTGCTTATAATCTCAGCTAGTTACCTGTAGGAAAGACACCTGGTAGCTAGAAATCCTGCTGAATGATAGGGGATCAAATACTTATTTCCCTCATGAACATGTAAATCAGTGCATAATTTGTTAGACGTGCATTTCTTTTGAATTTTTTGTTGCTATTCTGTCTCTCAGTGTTACAATACACCTACCATTTGATTTTTAGACTGATCATTTCTTTGTGAGTGGGCAAACATTCAACATCAGCAGGGGAGCAAATACCAGAAGTTGTTTTCAGGAAAGCCTTAACATTACGTAATACCATAGCCCCAAACATTATGGATCCCCCTGTACGCCCAGTCTTTTTCGGGAATTTTAAGGGTTTCTTCCCTTGTAAGAAATGTCAATTATGTAGACATAGTAAAATGTCGAAGAGGAAAATTGAGTCCTTCTCCTCTACTGTAACCGGTAAAGATTATGAGATAACTTCTTTTATTTCTTGTAATACACGACACGTGGTGTATCTTCTAGAATGCCCGTGCCAAGAACAGTATATAGGTAGAACAACGAGGAGACTCCGTGACAGGCTTAGAGATCATGTGTACAATATTAAAAGGGGCTTCCGGGAACATTCCTTATCTAAACACTATAGGGATTTTCATCATAGGGATCCATCTTCTCTTAAATTTACAGGAATTGACGTGGCACAACATCATTGGCGTGGTTCTAATAATACCAGACAGGTTTCACGTCTGGAAACAAAGTGGATTTTTGAAATGAAATCCCTGACCCCGCGCGGCTTGAATGTGGAAGTGGACCTTAATTGTTTCATTGACAATAGTTGACCACACATATCATTGAAACATTTGTACTACCCATCTGACAGGGACATTACTTCATTTTTAATTTTAATTTTGTTTTAATTTTAATTTTTATTATTGGATGCTTTGGGATGTGTAATGTAATTTTCTTGTACCTCTGACTGTTATACTAATTTTGTAGCTATAATAGAGTATGTTAAATATACATTACCGCTTTAAATGTGCCAGGTTTTGGAGCAGATTACTGAACTAGAATCTGTACCGAAACCAGTAAGGTATTTCAGTAAATTAGCGGCCGCATTTTTATCTATGCACAGTATTATATTCAGAACGGATATTACTGTCATATCCGTTTAATGGGTTATTATAATTATAATTTTAATTTAAAGTTTGACCTATGACTATTCCCAGATACAACACTAGGTGGTGCCTCTACATCTTATTAGTTATATAAGAGATGTATGGAGTACAAGAGTTTTTGTTGTATTGATTTTTTGCTTTTTGGCCGGTTTTGCTAGGACACTGGAATGGGTCCTCATATTTTGGGTGTCACCCCCAGTAAGATCGGCGACCGTACGGCCGTGTTTTGAGGGTTTAAAGTTCTCTGGCAACTCTGGGGTTAGGACACTGGAGCTTCTAACCAAGAAAATGGCGCCGGCACATGTGCATTGGGACATACGGCGGCCATTTTTAGCAACCCGGAAATCACCGGCAAAATGGCACCCGCACATGCTCAATATGCCGGTCTACGGCAAAATGGCGCCAGCTGGATTATGCATTTTTCTATCCTATATATAGGGCTAACATGGCGTCCGGCGTGCATGACATCACCCCTACTGCAGATGTGTGTTTACACGAAACGCGTCTAGGAGGAGCCCCTGCACGCTTTGACGCTACGCCGCCGGATCAGGAGGTCCGGCGGCCCACATTAGATGTATACTGGCCAGTGTTTTTGGGTGCTTTTACTGCTCATAGCAGTTTCATACTATATGCAGTCATTCATGTATGTATTTCTGCTCAGATTTTAATGTAATAAATTTATAGTTTTAAATACTACACTATGAGCACCTTTATTCTGCATATCTGGCACTGAGCCTCCATGTCTCAGCCCCAGTGATTTAGGTATTGCTGCAGACTTGATGAAGTAAATACTTGGAGATCAGATCGGTATCCTTTCTTTCACCACTGAGGGTCCATCAGAGGATTTCATTTCCGGGCTGTCTTTATTCAAGATCCTAGGATGCATGTGATACAGATATGCGTTTATTACTGGGTTTCTGGTGAGTAGGCAATCTATTCATATTATCGCAACGGGAGACCAGATTGCACCTACAACGTCTGATATTTCACTGTGGACTGAGGAATCCATATATTTATATTACAGTGGACTTATTTTAATATTTGACTATATTGATATTATTTTACTGTATGTAATTTTTTTTTTTTGCCATTTAATTTGATGTAGTGCTGCACTCCTTGTACTTTTGAGTTTATTAGAAAGGTTTTGTGGTTCCTTTTAGTGCATTGGTCGCTTGTCGGATTGCGCTCACTAACATATATTTTTTGATTTTATTTCCTTCACTGTATACTCTGTCCTCTAATTGAGGTTTCTGTCCAAGCTAGCAGGGACAGGAAGAACCTATCTGTTACCAACTAACTCTGTGGTAAGTAAAAAGCTATTTACAAACACAGTGGAGGACAGCAGATACCTACATAGGCAATTGCATCTTGCTTTAATAAATTATTCTTTTAATGATTTCTTACAGCCTCTTTGCAGCCACTACTTGTCTACATGCATACACTGGGGTGTAGATAACCAAACCCCCCCAAGCATCCGCAGCACAACAGCTATTGCAGGCAACTATTGGGTACCTAAAGCACTTACAGGTGCCACGCCTGCCACCTTGAGGCAGGATGGCCTTTTCTCTTCCTTAGCCAAGAGGAGACTTCCACTCACTCTGAGCTGCCTGACCTGGTGGGAGGGTGTCATAAAGGAAGGGGCAGGGCTGTACTGGGGAGGATCTAGCTTAATTTTGCCAAACCCTTGATTGACCACAGTGCCACACAGTGCCTGATTGTTCTCTTCTGGTTGTCCAAGCCTGAACCCCCTAAAGGAAACACATCTTTATGGCTCTAACTCAAACAATGGCTGAATAGCATTTCTCAAGACAGGTATCCTATGGGTGACAATAGTGGTCAATAGCATAAAGTGCGTTGAAACGGCTACTTGTAGTCTCCAATCGAAATCCTGAGTGATAACATAGGAGCATAAGAGACAAAATGTTGTCACTCTATAACAGGAAGTACCTGAACACAGACATTCATGGCAGGATCACAAAGGAGTCTATTAAAAAAATCACTTTGCAAATGTCTCAACATCTGTGCAAGGGTAACAAATAATTCATGTAATGTTTGTAATACATGTGTAATAGTTTTCATGTTGTCTTTCACTAGGGAAAAGTAGCCATAAGAATGTTAGACCATGATAGTTGACATTCAGCAATAGAGAAAATAGCCTAACACTATAAACTAAGAACATGCGAGCAGAATGGGAAATAATGAGGGAGTCTTCTGCACTGTATATAGTCTATAGAGAATATCTTGTGAATAGTCGAATGAATGGGAGTTTGGCCAAGCAAACTTCCAGCTGCAGTGAAAGGCAAAACATCTAGCAGCTGTGGTTTAACCGACAGCCTGCTAACAATCAGTGAGGTATCCCTGCCCCTGCACACATTCAGCTGTCTATCAGGAATTCTCCACTGACAGGTGAATGTAAACAAATTTGCACAGCAATTTTTTATATAGACTCCAAAGTGGTATTTTAACCACTTGCCCTCCAGAGGATATAACCCCCTTCCTGACCAGGCCATTTTTTGCGATACGGCACTGTGTTAATTTAACTGACAATTGCGCAGTCATGCAATGATACACCCAAATGAAATTTATGTTCTTTTATTCCTACAAATAGAGCTTTCTTTTGGTGGTATTTGATCGCCTCTGTGTTAATTTTTTGCTCTAAAAACAAAAAAAAGACCAGTAAAAAAATTAAAAAAAAATCAAATTTCAACATAAATTTAAGCCAAAATGTATTCTGCTACGTGTCTTTGCGAAAAAAAATCCCAATACATGTAAATTAATTGGTTTACATGAAAGTTATAGCAGCTAAAAATGGCGGTATATCTACTGGAATTTTATTTTTTTTTAGTAATAGTTTTAATAGTAATAGCGGCAATCAGCAAATTATACGGGGACTGTGGAACTGCGGCAGGCATTCTGACACTGGGGGGAACTGACTAACTGCCACTGACATCCCCAGTGACACTAATACAGTGATCAGGGCTAATAAAAAAGCACTGACACTGTATTAATGGCACTGAGCAGGAAGGGGTTAACATCTGGGCTGATCAAAGGGTTAATTGTGTGATGTGTGCTGTTTTACATAGTGTGCTGTGTGTGTTTTAGTAGAGAAACATACTGCTTTGTATTGCTCTGCTCTGCTATGCTCTACCCGAGAAATGCAGTATCACATATCTATATGTGATTTTGCGCAGCCCTGCCGCCCTGTAGCAGTAGCTCTGATATAGGACGGCGGGGAACCGGTTAATGAACACCACAGATATGCTGCTCTGGAAAACCTTTAGACCACTAGAGTGTCCAGAGTACCCGCCAATGCCACTTGTGCCAGACGCCAGAGAGCGGAAGGAGGCTTAACAGACTGCACATGATTAGTTTTTATTTACAACATTGTACTTACTGTATGTAAAACTTTTATCCCAAAAGGAAATAAAATGTTTGCTGCTTGTAACTGTAACTGCTTGTAAAGTATTAGCTGGAAATTGACTTCAGTTTGTTAATTTAACCGCTAGCACTTATACCCCCTTCCTGCCCAGGCCAATTTTCAGCTTTCAGCGCTGTCACATTTTGAATGACAATTGCGCGGTCAAACAACATTGTACCCATATGAAATTTTTATCATTTTTTTGTGACAGATAGAGCTTTATTTTGGTGGTATTTAATCACTTCTGGGTTTTTTATTTTTTTCTTAAACAAACCAAAAACAACTGAAATTTTTTTTTTTTAAATGTTTTTTCTTAGTTTTTGCTATAAAATTTTGTAAATAAGTGATTTTTCTCGTTCACTGATGTGTGCTAATAAAGCTGCACCGATGGGCAATGATAGGCTGCACTGATGGACACTGATAGGTGGCACTGATGAGGAGGCACTGGTAGGTGGCACTGCTGGGCATTGACAGGCATCACTGATGGGCACTGAAAGGCAGCACTGATACATGGCACTGATATATGGCACTGCTAGGCGGCGCTGACTGGCACTGCTAGGCGGCACTGACTGGCACTGTTAGGTGGCACTGACTGGCACTGTTAGGCAGCACTGATAGGCAGCACTGACTGGCACTGATAGGCAGCACTGACTGGCACTGATAGGCGGCACTGACTGGCACTGATAGGTGGCACTGATTGGCAGTACTGATAGGTGGCACTGATTGGCAGTACTGATAGGTGGCACTGATTGGCACTGATGAGTGACACTGAAAGGCAGCTCAGATGGGCACTGATATGTGGCATTGATGTGCACTGGTAGGCACTGATATGTGGCACTGATGGACACTGGCATGAGGCACTGATGAGCACTGACATAAGGCACTGATGGACACTGACAGGTGGCACTGCTGGGGCTACACTGATCATCAGGGCACACTGATCATCAGTGCCCTGATGATCAGTGTACATGTCCCCTCCGCGGAAAGCTGATTACTGGCTCTCCTCTCGAGCTGTCAGCGTGACAGCTCGAGAGGAGAGAAATGCTGATAACCGACATTTCCCTGTTTACATGTGATCAGCTGATATTGGACACAGCTGATCACATGACCGAGCCGACATCTTCGGCTCTTTCCGTGATCGGTGATCCGCTGTGTCCGAGGGACACAGCGCACCGCCGATCACAGCGCTGCGAGCTCCCTGAGCTCCCGCATGAGTGAAATGGGAGGACGTCATATGATGTCCTCCCAGAACAAGAGAACCACCTTGCGCCCGTCATATTACTATATGGTGGGCGGGAACTGGTTAAATCTGCTATTACATCCAACACTCCCCTCCAATCAGACTAAGAATGTCCAAATGTGCCCCCCCTGTGCTCCTTCATCCAGAGTGTTGTTTTTCTAATACACGAGGTTTGTTACTGACCAGATCACCAAAGAAAACAAATGCGGTTACCATATCTAATGATTGGTAAGCTGAAATATATTACATTTGTGGTTTGGGGGTTAATACCGTTTTAATGTCAAAAGTGCAAAAATGTAGCATTATCAGTAATCTAATAATTGGGCATGTATTTTTTTATGACTATATTTTTTTTTAACACTTTTCCGCACACCTTTCTGAATGATCCAAAAGTGGCAGGACTCTACTCAGCACTCAATAAATTGACAAGTCACTTGGTCTGAGTAAGCAAACTGCATGGTTGAAGTGAAAATGATTCCTAAGATATGTGTAAACAGAGATAAGCCATTGTACTAGATCTTACTTATGTGCACATGATTAATGGGCTTTGTTCATGAACTGTTTTACAATGATCAACATGTCACTGAAGAAGTTTAACTTCGCTCTACAAGCCATGCTTAGAAAAAGGAACATTCACCCCCAATAAAAACCACCAAGAGGTCCCATGAAGTGTTTGCGTTACACAGTAAACAGAAGATTGTTGACTCATGGCTGGAATGCCAGGGAAGGCTTGTGTTTGTAAGCAGGCTGTAGTGTCCGCAATAATGACACCTCACATTTCCAAAATCAATAACAATGGCTTTGTATTTGCTATTGGTATGCTCCATCTGGAAATTCAAGACAAAGTTTTAGAACTTTAGAACTGGTTGGTAGGGTGAATGTTCTTTTTAGGATGGCCTTACATGTCCCAATATTTGAAATAAATGCTGAAGACTAAACAAAACACCAGTTTACTGTCCTTCAAGATTTAGGGGGCCGGACTGTAGCCAGCGGGAGTAGGAAATGTCCTGGTGTCAGTGGGAGGAATAGTGTCCTATCATTTGTGTCGGCGGGAGGAATAGCTCCCCATCACTGGTGTCAGTGGGAGAAATAGTGCCCCATCATCGGTGTTGGTGTGAGGAATAGTGCCCCATCATTGTTGTCAGTGGGAGGACTAGCTCCTTATCTTTGATGTCAATGGCAGGAATAATGCCCCATTGTTGGTGTCAGTGGGAGGAATAGTGCCCCATCATTGGTATCAGTGGGAGGAATAGTGCCCCATTGTTGGTATTGGTGGGAGGAATAATATCCCATCATTGGTATCAGTGGGAGAAATAGTGCTCCACTGTTGGTGTTAGTGTTCCATCATTGGTGTCAGTGGCAGGAATAGTGCCCCATTGTTGATGTCAATGGTAGGAACTATGTCCCGCTGTTGCTGACTGTGGGGGAATAATGCCTCACGAGCCAGATAAAAGCAAGCAAAGGCCCCCAGGCTGCAGTATAGAGACCACTGTTCTAGACCAGTGGTTCTCAACCTTTCTAACGCCGCGACCCCTTAATACAGTTCCTCATGTTGTGGTGACCCCCAACCATAAAATTATTTTCGTTGCTACTTCAGAACTGTAATTTTGCAGTGGGAGGAATAGTGCCCCATCATTGGTATCAGTGGGAGGAATAGTGTCCCGCCATTGGTGTCAGTGGGAGGAATAGTGCCCCATTATTGGTATCAGTGGGAGGAATAGTGCCCCATCATTGGTATCAGTGGGAGGACTAGCGCCCCATCACTGATGTCAGTGGGAGGAATAGTGTCCCATCGTTGGTATCAGTGGGAGGAATAGTGCCCCATCATTGGTATCAGTGGGAGGACTAGCGCCCCATCACTGATGTCAGTGGGAGGAATAGTGTCCCATCGTTGGTATCAGTGGGAGGAATAGTGCCCCATCGTTGGTGTCAGTGGGAGGAATAGTGCCCCATCATTGGTATCAGTGGGAGGAATAGTGTCCCATCATTGGTGTCAGTGGGAGGAATAGTGTCCCATCATTGGTGTCAGTGGGAGGAATAGTGCCCCATCATTGGTGTCAGTGGGAGGAATAGTGCCCCATCATTGGTATCAGTAGGAGGAATAGTGCCCCATCATTGGTGTCAGTGGGAGGAATAGTGCCCCATCATTGGTATCAGTGGGAGGAATAGTGCCTCATCATTGGTATCAGTGGGAGGAATAGTGCCCCATCATTGGTGTCAGTGGGAGGAATAGTGCCCCATCATTGTCAGTGGGGGGAGGAATAGTGCCCCATCGTTGGTGTCAGTGGGGGGAGGAATAGTGCCCCATCGTTGGTGTCAGTGGGGGGAGGAATAGTGCCCCATCGTTGGTGTCAGTGGGGGGAGGAATAGTGCCCCATCGTTGGTGTCAGTGGGGGGAGGAATAGTGCCCCATCGTTGGTGTCAGTGGGGGGAGGAATAGTGCCCCATCGTTGGTGTCAGTGGGGGGAGGAATAGTGCCCCATCGTTGGTGTCAGTGGGGGGAGGAATAGTGCCCCATCGTTGGTGTCAGTGGGGGGAGGAATAGTGCCTATCGTTGGTGTCAGTGGGGGGAGGAATAGTGCCTATCATTGGTGCCAGTGGGAGGAATAGTGCCCCATCGTTGGTGTCAGTGGGAGGAATAGTGCCGCATCATTGGTGTTAGTGGGGGGAGGGAATAGTGCCTATCATTGGTGTCAGTGGGGGGAGGAATAGTGCCCCATCGTTGGTGTCAGTGGGGGGAGGAATAGTGCCCCATCGTTGGTGTCAGTGGGGGGAGGAATAGTGCCCCATCGTTGGTGTCAGTGGGGGGAGGAATAGTGCCCCATCGTTGGTGTCAGTGGGGGGAGGAATAGTGCCCCATCGTTGGTATTAGTGACACAAATGATGGGGCACTATTCCTCCCACTGACACCAATGATACTTACCTTGCTGACCCCTGCTCCAGCCTGGGCTCGCTCTCTCCCTCTCCTATCTACAGCCTGCAGAAGCAAAATTTGCACTTACCTGTCAGCTGTCTTCCTTCTCTGGCCTCTCTCCTCTTCACTCGGTCCTGCAGCTCCCTCGATCTTCTTCGATCTGCGCGCTCTGCCGCTCGGCTCCTCCTCTCCAAGCTCCACCTCCTCGCCGGTGATTGGCCGCCTGTGTGCCTCTCCTGAACTACAGTTCCGGTGGCCAATCAGCGGCGAGGAGGCGGAGCTGTTGAGTGATCCCAGGGGTGTGGCCAGGTTACAGGGGCAGCATATCATCCCGCCCACAGATCGCGAGACAGAGCAGCGGTGTCTCGGTTCCTAAGACCATCGGAAATATGTTTTCCGATGGTCTTAGGCGACCCCTGGGAAATGGTCGTTCGACCCCCAAAGGGGTAGCGACCCTCAGGTTGAGAACCGCTGTTCTAGACAATTTACTAGGTGGATATTGTTCCTTTCTTGCACCCCTGGGATGTGAGGTTAATTTCCTATCTAGAGCATTTCTGCCTGGAGTTTGTTCTGCCCATATTTATGT